AGGGTTTTCGAGCAAATAATTCGAAAAAATCAAGTATGTTAAGGGGTTTTCCAAGTCGTCACGAACCCTGCCACGGAGGTCCACTGGGACCTACGTGACTCAATCTGTGAGCTGATTTTTAGAATTAGTGGACAAAGCGATAGACTAAGAGGGATCGGAGAAAATGGAGCGATTCTATTGGTAGAAGCGAGTGGTTGCAACGTACAAAGAAGGTAAGTAATATATTAGCTAAAAGGAACCCACGAGAGACCCAAAAGGAAGTCCATCATATTCCCTCTAGCTTACAACAACCACTTGTTTCAACCAGGAGGGTCGTCCCCAAGGGTCGTCCCCTATTTATCCTTCGTCTGTAGCTTTGTCTATCAATTTCAATAATCAGCCCTCAGAAGTAGAGATGGGTCCCTCTCGACAAAAAGGGTCTGGGAAACAGGTTGTCATGTCTTGTAAACAGCAGAATTTCTCTGAGAGAAATGCTGCGGGATATAATTAATCAGAGACTGATCGTCATTATACAAAAAGTTGTATTCTCTCGAGGCTTGCGGCGACACTACAGCGGATCACTCCGCTTTGCTACCGGAAACGGAAAACGTTCCCGAGAACATTCCCCAAAACTTCCGCTGTCGTCCCTGTTCTTGCTGCTCAAGATTCTTGGAGAATTAAGACCTCTCAACTCGACATTAGAGCTTTTGCACGTCTCTATGAGCTGCGTTCCGCGTGCGAGACAATTTTTTTTCTTGAATTTTGCGATTTGACTATTAAGGGCACAAACTAAGTTCAGCTTCTTAGAAAAAGATTAACAGAGTTTTACAAGGATTCTCATGAGGAAATTTCCAACTGCTAAATGAAGAACACATCCCTGTTTGTCACATCACGTTGTTTCGTTACGGCAAAATACCGTTGAGGCTTTCTATTGTTTATCTATAAGTCATGACGGTTATTGTCGGACCTTCTTTCGAAAGAGTCACTGGGGGAAAAAAGCCTCTTGGACCCAGAGTCCAGTCTCTTAAAAAATTAGACGGTAAAAATATTCTTGATTCAATCGCATTTCTGCGTGAATCAAAAGGAAATCCGCTTAAATTAAGGGACTTGACTCTCGCTTCAAGCAAAAATCCGATCGAATTTAAAGAATTTTTACTTGTCAAATTTTTGAAGTGTCTGAACTCTGGATTCAAGAGACTTTTCGTTCCAGTGGTCGATCTGGATTCTCATGATTATTTACTTAACCCGTAAATTCATGGCTGATAGTTAGAAAAATATCTTGCCAGCAGCCAGTCAGCAGTGGTTTCAGAGACAAGATTTAAACGTCAGTACTAGAACACATGTCTCTTCAATAGGATTGAAGAGCAGGAAAGAGGATGAGGGAATTTTTAATCTAGCAGCTGATAATTTGGAGAGGCATCTCTTGACGCACGATATCAAAACATTACATCCTTCGATCATGGAACGGGCGGAAAGGAATAGACTTGGAGAGTCCTCTTCAAATTTTTAGGAGTAAGTCATAAAAATAAGTCAGAAAATCTATTCATTTGTTTTAATTTTTTTTTCGATTAACAGTTGGTCCAATTATCGTTAAAACGGATTCACTTCAATATATGTTATGATTGATTGAAAATGGAAGCAAGTTGATATTTGGTTAAAACTCGTTAGGTTTTCTTTACTTTCAATCTCTCAAAAAATGAGAGCGGGTAAAAAAAAGTACTACACAATTTATTTCACTTGGATACCTGGGTAAGTATGACCACGAAATCGTGAAAAATCAGTAAATAACTCCGTTTAGACAAGAGCGGCCCTGGATGCCCGCGAAATCACGAAAATCCGCGAATAATTTTCATCTCTCTAGTGAAGACCCGTCAACCAGTGAATATCCGCGATTGCCCAAGAGACTGCGACCACAGCCACAAATGGTGACGATCAGACGCAAGGGTTTTCTAGTGACCAAGAATACATGCGAAAAACGGCAATCATACGTGTGTCCCTCCAAGTAAACTCGCAAAACAGTATACCTCGCAAGAGGCCGGTCGTCCATAAATCACGTGAGACAAGGGGTCAAGAGGTGCCTTATAAGAGAAGAGAAGGGTAAAGGGAGGAAAAAGCGTCGAGATCAAAAACTCCCTCACATGTTTGTTGATGCTTAAAATGGAACCAATTTGTTTCCAACACGATATTTCGAGCAAAATTATATATTTACGCGTTGTTTTTCCAATTTAGAGGCAGGAGCCCAAACAAGCCTCACGGAGGTCCTACAAAAAATATTAGAGTCTGCAAAATGAGGAAATTTTGTTGTTGTAATTTGTGGAAAGTTCCTAAAACTGATTACACCGTTGAAAAATGACAGACTCGTGAAATCCGCCAATAACCGCGACTGTTCGCAAAACCATAAAAATCTGCGAACCAAAGCAAGCACCGCACCAAATGTATACTTCCGTCCAGAAAACGGTCACGGGACAACATCCTGGCCTCTGATTGGTGAAAGCTTGTTACGTTAGAAAAGTTCACAATTCTTCAAGGAAGTCCTCTTCTTGATAGGCAAGACGCGGGATAAGACGTAAGTCTTCATTTGGACTACATTTTACAATTAGGAGCTGCACTATCTGGCTCAGTTTAGGAACAACCTATGTACTTTTGGTTTTCCCAGGCACAAAAGTGTTTTGACGGTTGAGCCTGAAATTGTGGTTCCTAATCGCAAAATGTAGTCCATGACCCAATGGAAGTCAGGCTGAAACTTGAGACCTTTTTTTTAGAAATTTAATGCAGAAATTTAAGTTAAGGGTCGAAAAGGGCTTTAAAGAAAGCTTTGAAAACTTTAAAGTTCGTTCTCTTGATAAACGATTTTGCCGATGCTCTGGTTTCGTTTTCACTCAACAACCTGCATTCCCAACAAGACGAACATATTGAACATTTTAATACCTAGCTCCAACGCAAGAAATTGACGTTCTCAGAGTCCGTCCAATTGCAAGTTTCCCTTGCCGAGAAAGTCAGTTCAAGTACAAAAGGCAAAGCACCTAATAAACATATCTGATTAATTCCTTATCAGGTGGTCGTTTTCATACCATAGAGACTGCCGCTTATATTTTGACAATTTTAAAAATGTCTTCTAAAAAGAGATGAGAGGAAATGTTCGAAAAACCCAACTTGGGTCATTTGCAAAACGTTTACATTTGCTTCATGATATAATCATTTTGATCCATGTTGGGACCAGAAGTCAGTGGCGTGGCATGCTTTGCGATATATTGATTGATCTGCCATTTATCGTTGAACATGACCAGACCAGACAAGCTGTTGGGTCATAATTTATGGCAGTACTGTGCGCATTCTAAGTGAAATTTCCTATTATTTTCTGGTCTTTTTTCAAATCGGGCACCCTGTTAAATATGTAAATATGTCGGTTCTCTGGCCCCCTCCCCTGTGTGGTGTTTTTAATGGTCATTCTTAGTGCTTCCAGGATCGCGATACTTAAGTTAGTTACAGGCTACTCAACCATACGTAAGTGCAATTTAAAGCTCAATCATAAAGAGGGATTCATTTACAATTTTGGTTTGTTATAGGAGAGAAAACTCATGCTCATGAAAACTTTACAACATAGATTTACGGTCTTCAACTCTCTTGATACACAGAAAACTTACGGGAGGGGGAGGAGGGGGTCGGGCTATGCGAGGCCTCCCAAGATGGAGGGAGGGGGAAGGGGAGTTACCGGGGCTCCAGCTTCAAGGCCCGGGCCTGGGTATCTAAACACGAACCCATCTCTGACAGAATACTAAACGATCCGTAAAGAGGATATCAAGAACAAGAGGCTGAATCTAAGTGTTAAACATAAGCTGCACGATATTTATAGCCGAGATGAAAGATGTTGATCGGTCGATTACCGGATCCAAATAATAACACATACGGATGTACTGTGGCTTGGGGAGTACTCAAGAGTTCCAACACATCAACACATCCTGTCTTATTTCAGAAAACGGACGGATTTGATCAGAATCAACTGAGCTTAACTTGCGTACTTTTCGTCCAGGTTGTATAATATTAACAGGGATACTAAAATAAAAGAAGGCTTTGCAACGTTTCACAATTTTTTCTTGAAATTTGGACGTGTTTACGTTAAAAAGAACTACGTTGCGTGCAAACCCTATGCACATAGTTCCTTTTAGCATAGGTAAATACGTCCATTTAGAAAATGGACTCAGCTAAGAACGGCAAAATGCTGCTTAAGTGCTCATTTTATAGGCTATGAAATTAAACAAGAGACGAAGTTAGGCGACGTCTGATGCCGCTTTAAATATCCTCCAATTTAGCTAGATACCAAGTAAAATATATCGATGGCCAAAGTGCGAAATCACGTATCTCCATTTGCGACGTTGCAGACTTCCTGTCATACCTGATTTTTTTTCTTTGGAAAACTAGTCAACGCAATTTCTTGACAACTTAGGGGATTTTCCTTCTCTGATAGCAGAATATTCAGAATGCATTTCAAACTGGAAAGTAGGCTAGTTTTTCTTCGATAAATAAAAAAGGGCGAAATTTTGAAACACCGCACCCGCACTGGAGATACGTGATTCCGCACTTTGGCCATCGAAATGGAACTTCATTCAAAGCAGATGGATTGGTTTTCCCTGCATCTAAGACGAAAAACAATGACAATTTTGGGTTTTTTAAAGTGCATTGTACAAAAAAAAAGCGGGTAGTTTACGCGGAAGGTAAGGGAAAGGGGGGCCCGTGAGCCTAGTCTTCCCCAGGGCTTACGTTCGGTTAAGCCGGAACATTAACAGAGAAATGAGTGTAAAATTTACAGCCCGGTTAATTTTCCCTAAAAAAAAGTCAGTATCAAATAGCAGTGGCAACTGATTGAAAAAGCGGCTCAAAAATTGGGCCACGAGAGGATAATTTGGAAGAGAAAACCACCGGAAAACGCGACATTTTAGCGTGTAATTAAAGCGGATCGGAAAAATGAGGGCAAAAATACTGAGCAAACGGGGGCTCAAAAAAGCTCTCGAGTGAAAACTTACCCCAACTTCCGGCCGTTCGTCCTAAAAACTGATTGGTTTCCGAGTTCCATAGGAAGGTTTTGAAGCTCTCCCAGTTACTGACTTTCGGCGGCGGTGTATAGTACTGTTCCTTCAATTTGGTATCATCCATCGTGGCGACGAGAGCGGGCTAACGCGTGCAAAGAAAACCGGAATCCGACGTGAAAAGCCCGCGAGCGGGGCGGAAAAGTGTGGAACGGGAGACGAGGCGGACGACCGGGAAAACACAGGTCGGGTGGTCAGGATCGGGGTACGAAGACTCGCGACTATGTCGGAGTTTACCGGGGTGGTTGAAGCGAGTCTGGGCGCCAGCCGTCCCGAGATCGATCACCGCGATTCCGCTCGCCGGTCAAGCGGCTGCCATCTGTCGGCGCAACTTTCAACCAAGCCCTCGCTTTCCCGCCCGTCCTGCTCCCGGTTGGAAGCTCCCGAAGCTCCGGTTCAATTTCGACCTGCGCGTAGCTTGAGAATGGAAAATTTGCGCGAAAAGTTTCGAGTGCTGCATCTGAGAGTGCCTAATGGGATGCGTTCGCAGCATTTTTCATGGGTTTTTCTGATATTGGAAATTGAAACGAAAATAGATTTGAAAGTGAGAAAATCTGCCGCCTTGTGGCGTCATCAGGCAGAATATCGACGGTGAAACTACCAAACCACGTATCTCGTTTGCGGTGTTTAAAAATCTCCGCTCACATTTTATTTTTTTGAAGTAGACCAAAACAATTCCTTGAAATTTTCACAGAATTTTCTCCGCACGAAGAGGAAAAATCGCGGAAATTTTCAAGACTGGGCGTTAAGTAGCTTTTCATTTAAAAAATAAAGTATGACAGGAAGTCTGCGACGTCGCAAACCGAGATACGTGGTTTCGTAGTTTCACCGTCGATATTCCATATAAGAACATGTATTATGGCAAATTGGGTAATTCGGTCATATCGTCAGCTTCCGGAGGTATCGCAAGCGCCATGCGACGATTACAAATTTCCGCCGCCACTTTATTTTGTTACGAAGAGACCGTTTGACAAAGCTGTCCGAAAATTTTACTGAATTTTCTTTGTGCTGCCGATAAAATTCAGTGAAATTTTCAAACAGGTTTAATTATCACTTATCAATTTATCTGAGAAAAATAAAATGGCGACGGAAATTTTGAAACGTCGCATTGCAATTGTGACACTTTGGCCGGAAGGTGACGATATCTCCTCTAATGGATGTTTATTTTGGAAACCAAGGATTTTTTCATGCTTAGTTCATTCAGTAGTTTCTTCTCAAACATAAACTTCACAAAATTTTAGACTCCTGCAAATTCTCCATTAAGGCGTTGGGTGCAAAAAGGGCATTTCTTGGTTGCGGCGTTTAAGAATCTCCAATGCTGATTTATATTTTAGAGAGTACCGGATAAATTTTCTGAAATTTTATTTTTCAGCGTTATTAAATTATAAAGAGTATGCAGAAAAAGTTAAAACAAATTATAAACATTAGCATTAAGCATACTGCATGGAACGTTGCCTTAGCCTTCGAGATACCGCTAGATCGAGAAATGCCCATTCTGCACCCAGCACTTCAATTTTACCATGCCGCGTTTGGAAACACCAAATTCTTCCACCTTACTTCGGTTTCCGTCTCGTTAATTTACATCTACCCCGGAGATAAATAAAATCAGATATACGATAAGGGCCGTTTATGGGACGAGCCTGAATTTTCCCGAGCAGCGGGGGATTCAAAATTCCTGTAGCCAATGTGAACGAAAAACGTAAATATCTCAGGTAGAAGTTTATTTCAGTAATCTTCGTCGCGCGAATCGTGTTCTACGTGCAATTTCGGCGGGGAAACATTTATCAGAATTCTTAAATTCGCTTCTGTCAACTGTCCCAATTCGGTAGCCTCTCGATAATAGGATACAATCGATGATACTTAGCAATATTTGATACTCAAAATACACACGAGAGAAAAAGAAGAAGAGGAAAATAATCGTCTTACAATTAGTAGCGAACAACGGAAAGAGAGCGAGGCAGTGCAATCGCCTGTCAGTGGCTGACCGACTTGGGTGAAGTTGGTTGATGTCAGCGCCTGGATGCAACTATTCGTGTCCGATGGATGTCCTGGTTACATACCCGAAAAATTGAAGGCGCGCTGTACTTCCTACAGCGCTCGCACGCAGTAATATCAATATCACACTGCTGAATCAAGTCTCCCAGCGGTTAGGGCGATGATTTCGCAACTTCGATGGAAATGAGAAGGGGAACCCAATATCACTTCCCTGTGAAATCACTGAAAACTATCAATAATACAGGACCAGAAGCATACTTGGCAGAATAGATGACAGTTTTTTCTGACAACAGAAACTAAAAAGAGGAAACAAGAAAGCGAGAGAGAGAAGAAAGAAACTCAGCTACGGCAGTAAAACTATACAAATTAGAAAATTTATGAGTGAGAAAATTAATGTAAGCGTTGCAAGATTTTCGTCCAAAATGGGTTTTAAGTTGGGTTCCCACAAAATCGAAAGTCATTTCGCCATGGGTTTCGAAAGATCAAAGTATTTTACCCGAACATTCTGATAATACCTGAACAAATCGATGGCCGAAGTACAAAACCAAGTATTTCAAAATTTCCGATCATTTTTTTTCTTTTTTTTCTTAAGAGAAACAAGCCGACTTTACATCTTGAAATTTATACGGAATATTCTGCTGAACAGAGAGAGAAAATCAGAGAAGCTTCCAAGAAATTACGTTGACTAGTTTCCCAAAAACCAATAAAGTATGACTGAAAGTCTGAAACGTCGCAAACGGAGATACGTGATTTCGCTTTTCGGCCACCGATATATTTAAATGAAAAAGAGTATCTGCAAAAAAAATAAATCCACCCCTAAGCGCGATGAACGAGATAACACCGTCTTACCATTTGTTGCATCATCCGTAAAGCTTGCACTTTCACCAAGCCCTCCCAAAATGAATGTTACACACTCCTCACTTTCGATTGAACTTAAAACGAACGGGCGGGGAAATTTTTAAGGCATAACAACGGAAGACAAATGACGTCACGTCAAGTGCCATCAAAGGAAAACTGCATAGGAGAACAGGTTCCTGGTTGAGACAAAAGTCGAGAAAAACCGCGGTAACTTTCGGAGGCTTGAACGCAGTCATGGTGTCTAGAAACGGACTGAGAGGTTAAGACTTGGTGCCGCGCATTTTCACGCACAAAATAATTACGTCAGGTTTCGAGCTCTGTTTAGTCTGCTTCTCATTGGTTACGGCGGAGTCAATCGCGACGAATCAAAGCGATCGTACGTCACGTGCGAGCCTCAACCGCACAGCTTCCATGCAAGGTAGCACACTTAAATGAAGAATAAAATCTTGATTTGGCGTGAAATATTTCATGATAATTCAGAAATTTATGAAAGATATTGAAAAATACCGTTTCCTTTTCATGTTTCGCAAAGTGTAAAAATTGTGACTTTCGTCAACTGTTGGGTGTTCACTTGTTCAGTGCGGGTTGTTTACTCTAGTCCCTGAAAAATATGGAATATTTCACAGCCTCGTGAAATTTCATGAAATATTTCACATAAATTTCTAATCTTTCATTTCTCTCTTACGTTTGACTACGGTGCAATGAGCCACAGATCCTGGTGCCACGCTCGGATCTCGGCTAAAACTCGGGCTCGACGCCACGGAGTGAGGCGCCACACTCCTGCAAAATCCTCAAATTTCCCTTATGATTAAAACCGCTTAAGTGCTGGTGCAATCTGCCACAAAGTTCAGCTTACAGTTGACTTTCCGCTCATCTTTGACTTCCGTAAAAAACTGCCCAACCAACTTTGATAAACTTTCGAGCGTGCCGCCACACACCAGCGCAAGAAAAAATCCGGGCCCAGCGCCACAGGGCCGAGCGCCACAACTCACGATTGCATATCGCCAGGATTACGGGCGCGCATCGGGTAGCGAGGCCCACGTCGCGTCGCATCGGACCTGACCAAAGTCATAAAGTCGGAGCGCTAAAAGCAAAAAATGAAGCTTCTTTCAATCACCTCTACTATTGGCTGTAGGATTGGCGGCGAAATCGGGACAAGTTTGAACTTCAAATGTAGGGCGGGAACTAAATAAAATTGCGGAAACAAAGTATTTTAGGTTGATTTTGGCCCAAATTCACTTACACACTCATATTTGTATAACTTTAGGTTAGTTTTGGTCCGTCGTCGACCGATTAATTTCATTTGGGAGTAACTGTCATCTACGACTGTAACGGCCTGTTTGAACCGGCAGAACCACCATGAGCAGAAGAAAAACTAACTTTATCTGAGATTACTGCCTGTTACCGAGCAAAAGAAAATGTATTATAGTAGGACGCAGTCCCAACTTTCTTAATATATTCCTTTTAGCCTTTTAAAATACGTTTCGAAGAAGAAATGTGGAAAAATCAAGAGGACAAGTTCTAATCAAATTTCCGTTTGCCGCCATGGATTCCCGCGCTCATTTACACACTCAAAGAAGCACCCATCGCAAAACTAGAGTACCTTTATAGACAGAGTATGGCCATTTCTGTTCCGGTTTTTCATTGGTCGCGAGCGAATAGGCTGACACGATGCTCTTAGGGCCGTAAATAAACAAACAAGATGGCTGTTATCAGCAAGCAAGATTGAGGTTATGCACATCTTCCATCCTCCTGTGATAAAGGTGAATGGCAATTTAACAATGTTTCCGTGCGAGTGTGTGTGTGTGCGTTTGACGAGCCGCGGGTTGCCATATCTGATCAATGAGTGGGAGAGAGATAGACGATAAAACGGCGGCTTGTCAAAGCCGAGTGTGCTCCTTTGACGTGCCGCATCTGAGCAATGAGTGCGAGAGAGAGAAAGGACAAAACAGCGTATGGACCAATCCAAGTTGAGCCTTAGTCCCCGTTTACGGCCGTCCTTTCCAGGGCTCATGGTCGGAAAGCACTCCGGAGCTTTTTTGGGGCATCCGGATTCGGGCTCGCCACTACCACCGCGGACCAAATTACGAGGCCCAGCCTGTATTTTTGCGAGTGTGTGTGTGTCCCTTTGACGAGCCGCGGGTTGCCGCATCTGATCAATGAGTGGGAGAGAGATAGACGATAAAACGGCGGCTTGTCAAAGCCGAGTGTGCTCCTTTGACGTGCCGCATCTGAGCAATGAGTGCGAGAGAGAGAAAGGACAAAACAGCGTATGGACCAATCCAAGTTGAGCCTTAGTCCCCGTTTACGGCCGTTCTTTCCAGGGCTCATGGTCGGAAAGCACTCCGGTGTTTTTTCGGGGCACCCGGATTCGGGCTCGCCACTACCACC